TGTTTGCTTGGCTGACATACATCTCCAGTCGGTTTATATACAAGTATGTGCACACACCTCTAAGTGCATACAGTTTAGACCTAGGGAGCTTTATGATTAAATGAAAAACCAGAAATAGGAGAAGATGATACCACAGAGTGGCTCGGTTGGCACTGGGTGGTCCCACTGATATACAGCCATGATTCTTTTGCTCCCTTGTGTTCTTTGGATGTGTCTATGGCATTTCTAGGCTTGAAAGTAAAATGATGCCAACTGGTGCTGGATGGAGGAGCCTTATTTTTTATTATGGCAGCTTCTTATTTTTGTAACATGGTGATTTAGTTAAACACAATAAAGTACAGTTGTAACTGGAAAAAAAAAAACCTTTTTAAAAAGACAACCAAATAGAAAAGTGGGCAAAAAATTTAAACAGCTGTTTCAGAAAAGCTGGAAGAACAACTCTCAAGGTGTACAACCTCCCAGATGTTGGCCCTATTTTACAGATGGGGAAACTGAGTCTTGACCATGACACAGCTGGCTCTCTAGAGGGAGCCATGAGGTAGGGTGGCAGAGAGCCCTCAGTGTTCCTTCCCATCTGAAGCAACATTTACCTTTACTTCACTCTAAGTCTGCACACCACCTCAGCCCAGACCTCTGACATCAGGCAGGTCCCCTGTGCGTCCTCGCACTGATGGCCAGACCTCCAGGACAGCCTCTGTACAGTACAGTGTATGAAGATGTGTCTCTGTATTTCCTCATCTTCCTAACTGATTGGTCTAATAAAGACCTGAACAGCCAATAGCTAGGCAGGAGAGGATAGGCAGGCCTTCCAGGGAGAGATAGGAACTCTGGGAAAGAATCTGAGGTGTCAGACTCATGGTACTGAAGGGAGGTAACGAGCAACCTGGCAGAACATAGATTAATATAAATGGGTTCATTTAAGTTTTAAGAGTTAGTTGGTGGCCGGGTGGTGGTGGCTTATGCCTTTAATCCCAGAATTCAGGAGGCAGAGGCAGCAGATCTCAGTAAGTTTAAGGCCAGCCTGGTCTACAAAGCAAGTCCCAGGACAGCCAGGACTGTCACACAGAGAAACCTGTCTCAAAAAACAAACAAACAAAAAAAGAACTAGTTGGGAACAAGCCTAAGGAAGCTAAGGCAAGCTTTCATAATGAATAAACGGTTTCCAGGTCGCTGCTGGGGAGTTGGCAGTCCAACATATGGCTGTATGTGGTCGGCAGGGCTTTGCTTTTAGAGTCCAGTCCGGCCAAGCAATAGCAGTTGTCTGCTACACCCTGCGTGCAGAGCACATTCACGTGTCCAAGAACCACCAGCTACCACGTGCAGTATCCCGGGAGCACACCCAGCCCACTCTCGCTATTTCGGTGGGCTCTCCCATGGGTGGGGCCGGGCCCCACACCCCCGACCCTGTCACTCTGGGGCCAGAGCAGGTAGGTTCTGTCTCCTCCAGCAGCGGATTAGTTATGACTTGTTCTTTGCTCCAGACTCAAGATGGCTACAAAAATGCACCGTTCTAAACATCAGAGCCTTACAGGAGAGCATGAGATCCCCGCTCTCTCTTCCTGAGAGATGGAGTTCAAATGTGACGGCAGGACACGAAGGAGACAGCGTGGGCCATTAGACGGATGCCAGCACTGAAGCAAAAACCGCATGGTCAGAGAAATCCTGCTGCACAGGCAGCTCATGGGCCACTGTGGCTGCTCAACAGGCTGTAGAACGAGTACTTCTAGACTTAAGGAGTAAAGGACAAAAGCTTCTTGCTTACTTTAGCCATTGCTAGAGATTTGAACCCAGGGCCTTAAACAGACTAGGCTAGCCCTCTACCACTGGAGCCCTGTAGGACAACTTTAGGTTTTACCTAATCAAAATAAAATAAAATCTGGGTGTGGTGACACACACCTTTAAACCCAGCACCCGGATGGCACCTGCAGAGTGTGAAGCCAGCCAGGTCTACTAAAAAAAGAACCTGATAGCCAGGGGTAGAGACCCCTGTCTTAAAAAAAGAAAAAAAAAAAAAAACCAGCAAGCATACCCACTTTAGTTCTGCTGACAAAAATAAGTAACTGGATCAGCCATGATAGCTCACGTCTAACTCCTTGGATTAGGAGGTCACTCTGGGTTCAACGCCAGCCTAAGTGACAAAGCAAATATCACAGAAAACAAAGTTTCATCTACAATATCACAATAAAACTATAACAAGGATTTTTTTTTTCCACTAAATTCTGAGACAGAGTCTTGTTATGTAGCCCTCGCTGGCTTCCAACTCAAAAGGTCCACCTGCCTCTGAGTCCCCAAGGAACCAAAGGTGTGCACCACCCCTCCTGACTTTAGTCTTGAGACAGTGATCTGAGTGTAGACGATGGCTGGAAACAAGCCTGCCCTGCCCTGCTTCCTACTGCACTGAGCAATGCCAAGGTCCATCAGCACAGTGGCATACACCTTTAATCCCATCCCCGGGAGGAGGAGACAGGTGGATCTCTGTGAGTTTGGGGCCAGCCTGGCCTACAAAGTGAGTTCCAAGGCAGCCAAGGAAACAACAACAGCAACAAAAAGCTGTCTCCTGCAGACAGCGTCCGTCCTCCAGTATTACAGACATACCTCAGATCTCCAAAAAGCCGGGGGCTCTCTTTTCAGACAGTGTGCCTGTAGGAACTCCAGCTTGGCTCCCCTCCTCCAGTTCATCACCTGAATCAAAGAGACCCAAGTAGAATTATTATTGACATGCTGTAGAAAAGACTGTGTGCTGGGCCTGGGAAACAAGATGAATGATCAGGACCCCCAGGCTCCATACTCAGGAACTCCTTCCTGAGACAGGTCCGGTCAGCGCTGACGACCTGCCCAGTTTAGTGTAGCACAGACTTTCCTGAGATGTCCACAACACTGATTCTCAGCCCAGACATACCCACACCTAGGTGACCTCTGGTGGATGACAGCGGCAAGATCACCACCACATAGCTTGACCTCAGTGTTTTAGACAGGCTTTTGATTTTGTTTGTTTGTTTGTTGTTGTTTTTAGACAGGGTCTCATTCTATAGCTCAGGCTGGCCTGGAACTTGTAGTAGAGTTCAGGCTATACAGTGAGTTAAAATTCCACAGTGCTGGGATCCTAGGCATGCACCACCAACCCAGGCTTACCTGAATGCTTCTCAGGCACGTATTTTCAACCCATTTAAAACTAAATCAGCTCCTTGTCCTGCTTCCTACCGCACTGAGCAATGCCAACATCCACCAGCCAAGGACAGGGGGCAGCGCCGGGGACTTGGCTTAGCAGGCAAAAGTGCTAGCTTTGCTGTGCAAGCCTGACAACCTGAGTTTGATTCCCCAGGACCCACAGGGCAGTGGGGGCACATCTTTAATCTCAGCTTTCCTGGAGAAAGATGACAGGCAGATGGGAAATCTGGATGATTGGGGTAGCTAGCCTGCAATACACTATACAGCAGAAACAAGAAAGACCCTGACTCAACAAGCTGGAAGATGAGAACCAAATCCACTTTTGATAGGTTGTCCTCTGACCAACACATGCACTTAAAAGTGCACACACACTTTTAAGAAGAAATGGGACAATCCTGTGCCTTCTCATTGAGTTATCACCAAGTTTTATCAATTCTACCTCCAAAATTATCTCTCCCTATTCATTCCCTGCACCTAAACTTACTCAAGACCACCCTTATGCCTAGCTTAAATTAGCCTGGCGATCTCTTAATTGCCTTCAGGCTCACTCCTTTATTCCTCTTGGACTTGCCCAGTGATCTTTCTTGTCCACAGACCTGATTCTTAAGTGCTTTCCCCTTAACCTAAAAGTTAAGAGTGCTTGGCTGGGCAGTGGTTGGTGCACACCTTTAATCCCAGCACTCGGGAGGCAGAGGCAGGTGGATCTCTGTGAGTTCGAGGCCAGTCTGGTCTACAGAGCTAGTTCCAGAATAGGCTCCAAGCTACACAGAAACCCTGTCTCGAAAAACAAAACAAAAAAAGTTAAACATGCTAAACTCTGTAATGTCCCAAAGACTTATTAGAGCCTCCCGGGCCTTATTGCCCATCTCTGCTAGAGGAAGCAGAGCATCCTCACAGACAACATCTTCAACTAAGGATATACACCCTTCCCCTGCCTCACTTCCCCAAACATCCTTTAGGCCCAGCTTCCCGGGAGAATGGAACCGCCTGGATTACTTAGATTGAGCTAAGCCTCCCTTCCTACAGGGGCAGTGGTATCTGAAAAGCCTCTTTCTCCCACCTGAGGTTGCTCTCTGAATGGTTATGACACATACCAGCAGGGGACTTTCCGGACATTCACTCTCTAAACTATAAGCATGCTAGGCTCCGTACAACCTATTACCTCAAGACAGGTTTTTATCATAATCCGTGCTTTAAGGATGAGGAAACAGAGAGAGTCTCCGCTTGGTGCTGGGAACCCTGGTCCCACCTGCGGACTTATTCCGCAGGCATCTGTCGTCAGATCTGTCAGGCGCGGAGAGAAGGAGGGAAACACGGTGGACGGATGGGTGGATGAGTGAATGAATGAGCGGTCTACGGTGGGGGCAGCGCCCGCCCCTATTCCACAACACATCCAGACCGGCCCCGCGCCGCCCCGCACTTGGCCCCCACGCGGCCGCAGCACGCCCACCCGCCGCGGCCCGGCGCGCGGGGTCAAGGGGCGGTGACAGCCCGGCAGCGGGGGCGGAGATGGCACCAGCCGCGGTGTCACCCAGCCCTGGAGGCGACTCGCGCCCCTTCGGCAGCACGGGTGCACGGGCCACCCCTCCGGGCCGCTCCCGTTGCTCCCCGGCCCGCGGCGCCTTCCACCCGAGCCTCCCCTCCCCCACACAACCGTCCCGGCATCCCGAGTCCCCGGCCCCAGCCGACTCGGTCCCTCCTTCCAGGACTCCCCGGCCGCCCTCACTGGCCGAGCCTCACCTGCCATGTCCCGAACCCGACCACAGAGGGAGGTGCATCACGGCCGCGAGAAGGCCAGGGACAGAGCTTCACGGCAGACAAAGGGCGCCGCCATGTTAGAGCCGGGCGGAACCGACCTCGCCGGCTTCCCGGCACTGACTTCCGTCGCCGGCACAGCGCTACACTACGTGCGCGATCGCCGACATGCGCATGCGCCTAGCCAGCCGAAAGTTCTCCGTTAGTAGACTTCGGTAATTGTCCCCGTTTTAACTCCTATCTTGGTTTCCCACTCCAAACAGATAAACAGCTGCATTTAATGTGTGCCAGACAGCATGTTCATCGTCTCATGTGTTCTTCACACTACAAAACCGTGTTATTTCTCCTTTTTTGTTTTGTTTTTCGAAACAGGGTTTCTCTGTAGCTTTGGTGCCTGTCCTGAAACTCATTCAGTAGACCAGGCTGGCCTCGAACTCACAGAGATCCGCCTGCCTCTGCCCCCTGAGTGCTGGAATTAAAGGCGTGCGCCACCATCAACCGACTCTCCTCTTTTCTTGAAGGAGTGAAAACTTAGGTGCAAAAAGGGTTAAGTTGCTCATATTTGCACATCTTTGTGACAGAACAGAGATGCTAACCTAGTTGTGGCTCCCATTATGTTTTGGTAATATTTTTGCAGTACCGGGGATCAACAGCAACTTGGACTGGGTAGATGGCTCAATGGGCAACGTGCTTGGGAACTCAAGCTCAATCATGAAAAACCACATTAAAGGCCAGGGGGCAGGAGAGATGGCCCAGAGGTTAAGAGCACGTTTGCTCTTGCAAAGGACTTAGCTTCAGTTCCCAGCACCCACATGGTGACTCCAATTTCAAGAGATCGGATGCCTTTTTTTCTGGTGTCTGCAATAAGTAGGTGGTGCACATACATACATTAGACAAAATACTCAGACACATAAAATAAGTCTTAAATAAAACAAAAAACCTCTCCTGCCCACATGTGATCAAAAACACCTGGTGCAGATGGGCCAAACAAACGTCTTTAGACAGTAAAAACAGGTGGCTGGTTATCGCCCATAAATAACAGCCTCTAGCGTTTCAGGAACTGTCTGTCCTTGGGCAAGGGGATTGCAGATCAGAGGCATTTTTGATTCATGGATATCTACAAATTGAAGCATAGTAAATTGAAACTTTGGCTATCACATTCCTCCTTGAGTTGTATCCTGAGTCAAATCCTTGACTCTGTGATGGGTACCTGTTTATATTGGGATCTAAAAACCATCAGCTTAGGGGCTGGAGAGATGGCTCAGTGGTTAAGAGCATTGCCTGCTCTTCCAAAGGTCCTGAGTTCAATTCCCAGCAACCACATGGTGGCTCACAACCATCTGTAATGAGGTCTGGTTCCCTCTTCTGGCCTGCAGGCATACAAGCAGACAGAATATTGTATGCATAATAAATAAATATTTAAAAAAAAAACCATCAGCTTAATGGTACCCAGACAGAAATTATCACTTAGTTAAAGTATCAGTGGTACAAGAGCCAATAACAAGAAGGGCCAAAGGACTGGTGGTGGCTGACACCAGAGTTACTATCTAGGAAGAACCTGGAAATAAGAATGGGGACCAGTTATTTCCTTCATCTCAAGGCCCTTTTTTGCAATGACTTTTTTTTTAGTACAGTCATATTATTCTTAATGATTTCTGAGTGGTTTACATAGAAACAATTTCCTCTAAAGCCATATAATAATCTCTCTGTTTTACATAGAACAGGTTGAATGCCCTATCAAACTATGGGGCTATTTTAGCTAGTGAATCTACCTGTTGATAGTTCTGGGTCTATTTGGTTTTAACAGGTACCTCTCTTGGTATGTCAATAGGCACTATAGGTAGCTATTTTGTCCCTTAAACAGGGAGTTTCCTTTTGATCTAACATTTCAGCCTGCTGGGGGACAAGGGGAAGTACTCTCTTGTGTAACTACTTCCTGCTGAGACTATGGAATTGTTGTCAGGGCCCAGGAAAGCTGCAATGCTATTCAAAGGCAAGGGGGGAATTCAGACAATGGGACATTCATCAGAATCATCTGGTTAGCTCACCCAGCTGAGGAGACGGGGAGCATTAACACAGGCTGGACTGGTCCACATCAGCTTTCAGCACGGCCAGGGCTCGCAGTCATTTGGAGCAGGTTGCAGTCAGCAGCTGATGCTTGGATGTGTCTGTCAGCCAAGTGGAAATCTGCTAAGACAGATATAGACTAGGGACAGAAACTGACATTTAGGATCTTAAAGGAAAATCTTATATTTGGAAATTTCAGCCTGTAGTCCTAGTAATTGGCGAAGAGGAGGATCCCCAAGATCAGGAGAGAGAGAGAAAAATACCTCAGGAATAGTCAGGTGGGCAAACTTAGGCTGAACCTATCTGAAGTCCATATGACCTGTGAGAAGTGGATCCAAGTCTTATGACCCCCCCTCAGTTCTCTGAAGTTTATGTAATTCTTTTAGTTTACAAAAAGACATAAAGCTTTTAGATACATTAGCATTACCAATATGTATTGGTTTTCTCACTGTAGCTCATTCAAGTAGCAGGTGTCTGTAAAACACTGGGGCCGACGCACACCTTTGGGTCCTAGCATAAGCTTCAGATTAGGGTTAAAAAGCATGAATATTTTTTTTCCTTTTCCAGAGACCCAGATATAGATTGGACAGAAATGTGTCTGGCCCAGTGAGAAGCACATTTAAATTTACACTTAAAAAGAAGACAACCAAAAGAAATCTAAAATCGTGAGCTTGTGACTGAACAGTAACTAGTCAGTGTGCTACCAGCTTATCAGAACTCCGGTGAGCAGTATTAAAACTCTGAACTTTGGAAACCTTAGTGTAACAATAGCATAGAAGGGGAAGGAAATCTGAAAAAAAGTTTGTATTTTCACATACCTTAAATCGTTTCTGATACCTTTACAACTTACATTTACTTCTTTCTTAAATTTAATTTTTTTTTTCCAAACGGAGCTTCTCTGTGTATTTTTGGCTGTCCTGGAACTCACTCTGTAGACCAGGCTGGCCACAAACTCACAGAGATCCACCTGCCTCTGCCTCCCGAGTGCTGAGATTAAAGGCATATGCCACCATGCCTGGCTTAATTTACTTTTTTTTTCTTTATTTTACATTCCAACCACAGTTCCCTTCCCACTCCCCCTCCCACCACATTTACATTTTTAATCATTTTCTGAGATCCTCAAAACTTACTTAAGCTTTGACATCCTCAGACGCTTATATAACTTAGACCATGAGAACTTACATAGACTCATATCCTCAGACTGTTATATACCTTGGAACATTTTTTTTTGATTTTTCCGTAGCTTTTTGGTTCCTGTCCTGGAACTAACTCTTGTAGACCAGGCTGGCCTCGAACTCACAGAGATCCGCCTGCCTCTGTCTCCCAAGTGCTGGGATTAAAAGCATGCGCCACTACCGCCCGGCTCCTTGGAACAATTTTTAGACCCTTGCATAGACTTTAACCCCTTTTCTTTCCAACGACTCGTTTACCAGAGACACAATTAGTTATTACTGAGAACAATCATTTCAAATCGTGCTCATTTAGTGGAGAATTATACCGGAAACCTGTTTATTTTTTCATATGAAGCCTGTTAGCAAGGCAAACCTGTCTACCTTTTCTCACCAGGTAGCTCGAGAAAAAAGTAAGTCTTGACTTTTACATAGGAAGTGAGCTAACAAGCTGGCTGCAGCCTTGGGGAAGAACCTGGTTGTCTGCTGCTGCTAAGCTGACCAAGCTATAGCTAGCCCAGCCATCTGTACCATCAGAAATCTGAGAAGGATAAATACAAATACCATGATATATAATTCAAATGCCCTATGTATCAATTAAAATGACAGAGTCTAGTCCATTACCTGTCTAGGTCATCCCGGATGCCTGAGGTCCCAGGACGGCATCAGTCTTCAGCTGCCAGGTCGAGAGGTGAGAGGCTTCCTGTGGAGAAGGAACATGGGAGAGACTGACTTTATTGTGTCCAGATGAAGTGGGACAATCAGCTCTTCAGTGTCCTGCTGGTCCACAGTTCGGGCTGGGTCCTGGTGGTAGGTGCTACACTCGGGCAGTCTTGCCTGATGGTCAGTATCACCACAATCTAGGGGGACATATCTTGGTGCCCCGTCATCTTCTTTGGAGATCTCAGGGTCACTGCTGGGATTTGGGAGTCTTTGTGAAAGTAAATTTTTTTCTATTAAACATTTTAAATGCCATGTTCATCAGATCTCTGACCATTATCTATTAAGTATATCTGAGCTAAACAAATCTAGGCTTAACTTTGAAAACAAATCTGACATGACTACATGTTTGATTATTACAGATGACTAACTACTACCCTATATTTCACAATTACATATTATATTTTTAAATGAGCTGCATAGGTACAATACCTTAAATAAGAGTAGAAACATATATTTAGTCTAACAAAAATAATCTTAAATGTGTATCAATATACAAAAATCCATTCCAATGTGAAATATTTGAGACTAGTAGTTGTTTTTTTAGTTTTTTAGTTGAAAAGTGGAGTCAATAATCTATCTTTTTATCTTATAATTTTTATTTTACTTTTTTTTTTTTTTTTGGTTTTTCGAGACAGGGTTTCTCTGTGGCTTTGGAGCCTGTCCTGGAACTAGCTCTTGTAGACCAGGCTGGTCTCGAACTCACAGAGATCCACCTGCCTCTGCCTCCCGAGTGCTGGGATTAAGGGCGTGCGCCACCACCGCCCGGCTTTATAATTTTTATTTTAAAAGTCGATGTAATAATATATCCTTTCCTTTATTCTCTTTCTTATTTTTGAAAAAGATCCCTAAATCTACCTCCTTTGTTTAGCTTCCTCCCTGACCATGACCAATAACAACTTGCAAACAACTCCTCTTAAACCATTGCAAACATTCACCAAATGAACAGAAACCACCCACCCACCTCTTGGGGATGTGGGCATTGTGTTCTCTAGACGGCTTCCTGTTGTCTTGGGGTGACAGCATCTCTAGGGGACCCTTAGAACATTGGAATAATAGTCAAGAGCTAGCTGTATGCTTTTTTTTCAGTCTCTGTGTGATGGGAGAGTGTGGAGCTTAGCTGAAGTCTTGGCTGGAGGAGTCTGTGAGGCTGGACCACCTCAGTTAGCACCTTTGGAGTTGTTCTGGATGCAGAATCTTGAGGAAACAGTAACTGAGGCATTCTGAGAGGCTGGAAAACCTGTGCTGATTGTCTGGTCTTTACTCATGCCTAGTCCTTTTGTTCTGAATACATACAAACCTTTTGTTTTTGTTTTATTTTATTATTTTTGAGACATAATTTCTCTCTACTTCAAAGCCTGTCCTGGAACTTGCTCTGTTGTAGACCGTGCTGGCCTTGAACTCACAAAGATCTGCTTGTCTCTGCCTCCCAAGGCTGGGATTAATGTGCCACCACCACCGGTAAACATACCAACTTTTAAAGGTAACATACATATCTGAAAAATATGGAATGTGTGCTATACACAAGTCAGCTAAAGATGATTTGTTTTATGTTTGAGCAGACAAAAGGCATCTGTCAACTTTATAAGTCCGTTTGGACTGTATAACCAAACCGTTATGAGGATTCTGTAGCCAACAAGATTTTTTTTGCGTCTTATCCAGTCTCAGAGCTGTTCCCACGTAGAGGGATCAGCATACATGTCACCTGTCCTGTAGTCTTTCCTGGCTGCCTCCCTCACGTCTGCACCCAAGGTCTCAGGAGGTCTCCCCATGTCAAATCTGATCTTTATTAGTTGTGAAGGAATCCATAGCTTTTCATTTCCTATGAAAACAAAAGCACAACCTTTCCTCCAATGCAATCCATCTCCCGACTTCCATTCTGAAGCCAAGACATCCCTAAAGTATATAGGCTGGGTTAATTCAGCAGTTCCTTCCACAATCCAATGTCTTTCAGCAGCTGACTTTCGTTCATCAGCATTTAAAAAACTCAAAGTCAACAAAGCAACAAACCTCCTAACTCTTTTATTTTTAAGCTCAAATATTAACAATATAAAGCATTCCATAAACTTAAAATGTGCCATAGCCTTGTAAATATAAGTAGATTTTTAAAAAACTGTTTCTTAAAGAAATATGTATCTTGCCTGGTGGTGGCACACTCCTTTAATCCCAGCATTTGGGAGGCAGAGGCAGGTGGATCTCTGTGAGTTCAAGGCCAGCCTGGTCTACAAGACCCAGTTTGAGGAGAGGTTCTAAGGCTACTGAGAAACCTTGTCTTGGAAAACAAAAACAAAAAAAAAATCTAGCTTTTAAATTTTCTGTAAAACTCTAAAGTTTTCTCTTAAAGAAGTTAAATTCTCTCCGGTGTATTTTTACAATATCGAAAATAAAGTACCTTTTTTAACTTTAAGAAAGAAGATATAGGGCACAGTTACAATCTGCATAACATAAAGCCAAGCTCCAATAGTGGAAACAACTCAAAGCTCAAGATCTGGGGTGCATTCAAAATCCTTTAGGTTTTCTGGAGAGACTTAGAGCATCTGTGACCCCACCCTTGGGAGCATATACATAGCCTGCCCTCTAGTTCCCCAGCCTGCTCCATTTCGTTGTGGCTGGTGCTTATGGTGCCTATAACATGGTGCTGGCATTTCTAAAACTGCTCATGTCCACCATTGGAACTGGGCTCTTCAGGAACTCTAGCCCTGCCATACCTTTGCAAACCTCAGCTGCTCCCCACGATTCCTTCACGTCTTTAAAACCATTGTCAGCTGGGTGAATCTTAAAAAGTTAACGGTCAGCGCAAGGTACATTCTTGCATATGAATGCAGGGAGGTGCAGCTTTCATGTTATTAAACAAGCATTGTTTTCAAATCCTATCTTTCATAAACCTTGTTTTCATGACAGTGTTGGACTCTAGCGTCCAAACACCGAGAAGGAGTCACCCCCAGAGACCACCTCACACACCACAGCCGATGCAAAAGCATGAGGATTTTATTAATTCTGTCATGACAGGGACCCTCAGCATTCGGGAAGCCGAGAGACCTCGAATAGCTGGTACAGTCTACTTTTAAAGGGGCCACAGAAACAAGGGGGGGGGTTGTTCTTTGACTATTCTGATTGGCTTATTCGAAAGGGCTATTACCAATAATTGACTGGAGAGCTGTTGCCAGATCAGATGAGGTAAGAGGTCATTTTGACTCCGTGTCCCAGGGGACTGAATCAAAACATACGTATATGGGTAATTGTTCAGGAACTGAGTTCGTGCGAGTGTAGCTGTTAGGTCCTTGGTTCCCAGGGGAGGAGGGGAAGCACTATGGCACCGAGGCTGAGAGGATTCAGAATTGTCAAAAATGGCTTCAGGATTGTCTTAAAGTCTTACAACAGGACAAGAATTTCATATAAAAATCCATCCCAATCAGGCTGGAGAGATGGCTCAGAGGTTAAGAGCACTGCCTGCTCTTCCAGAGGTCCTGAGTTCAATTCCCAGCAACCATCTGTACTGAGATCTGGCGCCCTCCTCTGGTGTGCGAGCATACATGGAGGCAGAATGTTGTATACATAACAAATAAATAAATCTTAAAAAAAAATCCATTCCCAATCAAAGTATCTTAGAGACCCATTTTTTGCCTCTTTGGTAGGCGCACTCCCCGCAGTCACCTTTAATCAAGGTGATGGCAGTGAAATCACACAACGTCCATCTTCCCTAACCCTAGCTGCCAGACACACGACTGCCCAAAGATGGTGGCAGTTCAAATTGGAATCATGCCTGTGAAATCACGCCGCCACCGCCCGGCTCAATAACTATTTCATATGGATCATTTCACAGCCTCCTGAGCTTTTGTTTAAAATTACCTCTTTGGCCACCACCGCCCGGCCGATTGCCTTGGCTTTGAATTCCCCTGATCTGGCCACTGAAGTCCTCTGTCCTTGAGACAGTGGTAGGACTGAGGCCCAAAGAGCTACTTAAGAAACTTGAAGCCAGCCGGGCGGTGGTGGCACACACCTTTAATCCTAGCACTTGGGAGGCAGAGGCAGGCAGATCTCTGTGAGTTCGAGACCAGCCTGGTCTACAAGAGCTAGTTCCCAGGACAGGCTCCAAAGCCATAGAGAAACCCTGTCTCGAAAAAAAAAAATCTTAAAATTACCTCTTTGAAATTGGTTGCTAAATTCTGAAATAATGTTAATAATGTTAAGATTAAAATATGTTATGAATGGTATTAAAGATAGCTATATCTGTAACTAAAATATAAAGTACATATATTTTTTAATTAATTCAGTATCCTGAGATAAAATTGTTTAAATTTGGCAGGTCGTGGTGGCACACACCTTTAATCCTAGCATCCTGGAGGCAGAAATAGGCAGAGCTCTGTGAGTTCAAGGCCAGCCTGGTCTGTGGAGTGAGCTCCAGGACAGACTCCAAAGTTACACAAAAACCCTGTCTCAAAAAAACCAAAACCAAAACAACAAAAACAAAGCAAAAAACAAACAAAAATTGTTTAAATTTCTATCACAGTCTTTCCTTAAGTATTGATTTTTTTCTTGCTAAATAAACATTTAAAAACCTATAATTAAGTATATTTTCTTGTTAGACAAAGCCTTTGCTTTTCAGATAGTCCTTGCCTTAAGTGTATAAAATCCGCTGAAAGAATGATGCCTACTTCCAGGATAGGCACCAAAGCCACAGAGAAACCCTGTCTTGAAAAAAAAAAAAAATGATGCCTATAGTCCAGCTAAATTACATAGTAATTGTAAACATGGTTCTGTTGGACAAATATTTAAATTTCCTTATAAACATTGGTCTGTTAGATAAAGAAATAACACAAGGGCTACACAGAGAAATCCTGTCTCGAAAGAATAGAAAAGTAATATATGTGTGCGTGTGTGCATGTGTGTGTAAAATAGTTCATAGAATACAAACAGCTGTAAGTACAGGGGAACTATATAGTCAGTTTGGTAAATTTTGGTTATTTTAGATAGGATCGCCATTTTGGACTGAGGTAGAGGTAAGAGCCAGTGATTGGCTGCTTTGCTTTTCTGACCTTCAGGTTGAACCCCAATTTCTCTCTCTGAGTTTCTATTAATCGTGCATCACGGTATAACAACTATGTCACAAGTCAGCTACAGAAGGTGTAGAAAACAATTCATCCGTAGCTCATAACGGCAAACACTTCTGATACAGAGGCTTACTTACTTATCCTGGAGCTTGCTCTGTAGACCAGGCTAGCCTCAAACTCTCGATCCCTTCCCGCCTCTTCCTCCCAAGTGCTGGGATTAAAGGAGTGTACCACCTCCACCCCGTAGGAGTTTCTTCTTTAATGACCTTTATCAGGAATTCCTGTCTCCTGAAGACTGCTGTCCTGCCCACGACTGAGCCTCACCTACCCGAGAAGCTAGGAATGTGCTTCCTACCTAAGAGGGACCTTGTAATAGTTAATAGACTGTGTAGTCCTGAATGAACAGAACGTCATAGCTGGCCAACAGGAGGACCCGTGAGTGAAAACTCCTGGAAAGATTCTGTGTGCAGAGCCTGGTGGGCTAGAGTTTCAACACTGTGACGGGGTTGGAATGTGTGGGCCCAGGGGCTAATCACCTTATCACGGGCTCAGTTGTGGCCCACCGGAACAGCCATCCCCGCCTTCCCCCTGTGTTGTAACTAACATCCAAGGACAGTCTCAGACTGTGGCAGCAGGGCTTCCTCAACAGAGCCCCAGGACCGGGGAGCCAGCCTCAAGGAGTCTAGCCTGGAGATGAGCTGTGGTAAGATGTGGCACAGGGCTTCTCAGCACCAGGGAAAAGGCCAGCTGAGGAGGAGTGGCAGGCGTGGGGCTGATGACTGGGGGTGTACGGCTGTCACCAGCCCTGTATCAACCAACAAACAGAGCATACGTGTCCTCTGAACCGGGCCAGGATAGGTAGGCCCACCAGGTAGGGAAGAGAGCTGGGGTACTATTTGCAGGGTGTCAGAGAACAGCTTTGGAGTTGATCTTATTCTACTGTCAGATGAGATCACATGGGTTGTCAGGCCACAGTAAGCAATTTCGCCTTCTGAGCCATCTCCCTAACTTAGTTGTGTCTGTGTGTTGAGGGGGAGTGGTTTTGTGCACCATGGTGGTGCACACCTTTAGTCCCAGCACCTGGGAGGCAGAGGCAGGTGGATCTCTGAGAGTCTGAGGCCAGGCTGGTCTACAGAACAAGTTCCAGGACAGCCAGGGTTACACAGACTCTCTCTCTCTCTCTCTCTCTCTCTCTCTCTCTCTCTCTCTCTCTCTCTGTGTGTGTGTGTGTGTGTGTGCGTGTGTGTGTGTATGTGACATGAGTCTAGGCTCATGCTTGTGCAGAAGTCTGACCACCCGGGTCGTCTCCCCAGCCCCCAGCCCACCCCTGCAAATGCTGTGTAAAGATACTCCCTGGGCCATTCATGAGCAAGATACGCCCAGGGGTGAGGTTCCCACAAACAGGTGAGACAGGGAAAACACAGTTTAAACTTAGGTATTGGGCCAGTGAGAGTACCGAGTGGGTAAAGGCGCTTGCAGCCAAGTCTGACCTGAGTCCAATTCCCTAGACCCACGCTGTAGAACGAAGAACAGATTCCACGAGTTGTCCTCTGATCTCCACATGCATAACATGGCTCATGTGTGTCTACACACAAAATCAACAAGGCAATCAACTTAGTTGACTATGCTAACCCAAACTTCTGGCCTCTCCCTTCCTTTTAGCTATGCAGCCGGCGGGCCCCCAAAAGGCTGTCCCCACAGCTCACCTCACTGTCGTTATTGACTGTGCTACTGGAAAGCAGATCTCCCTGGCGGCACCCCCAGTGCCACCCCAAGCATCAAGACCCAGCCAGGGATGTGTCACTCCGCCCATGAAGACTTTTGTTATGTTCTGTGGAGAAAACACGCTGCGTGGGACTCAAGACTTTCCGCTCAGTTGCAGGCCTCTTGCCGGGACCAAAGATACCGTGCCATCCGACAGAGGACTCCCAGCTCCAGCTTCCCTCCCTGCCAGTCCGCCGAGTCCCCAAGACGATCCTCAAGCCCAAAGGAGCTTCTTGAAGCCTGGAGCTACTGAAAGGCGCGCAGTTTGGGACACAGTTAAATGCTCACTCCAAGCGCTCTCTGCCTGTGTCTGTGGGCAGGCTGAGTAGTTTGGCCGGATCTGTGGGGGTGGGGGAGAACCTGGGAATGCTGTAGTCTTTGGAGTCTGAGCCCAGGAAGGCATCCTGGATGTGTTGAAGGATGTAAGAGCCAGTCACGTCTCTGTCCTCTTCCCCATCCTCTGCCAGGCTCTCAGCTAAGGCCAGGCATGGTACCAAGCAAGCACCTTCTACCTCCCCTACAGGATACTGCCGATGATGTCACGACTTTCCTGCCGCTTGGGAAGGGAGAAGGGTTGAGCAAGTGACCAAATAAATAAATGTTTTGAGCGTTGCTGAGCAGCTCTGTTTTTTTTTAAATATTTATTTATTTATTATGTATACAACAGTCTGTCAGCAGGCCAGAAGAGGGCACCAGACCTCATTACAGATGGTTGTGAGCCACCATGTGGTTGCCGGGAATTGAACTCAGGACCTCTGGAAGAGCAGGCAATGCTCTTAACCACTGAGCCATCTCTCCAGCCCTGAGCAGCTCTGTGACACGATACAAAAGTGTCTTTCCTGGTGCAGGGCTTGGAGAGAGAGAAAGAGGGAGGAATGGGAAGTGGGCAGGGCCCTTTTAAAAGGGAACGTAGTGAATGCACGCAGGCAATGCTCTTAGTGGCTACAGCTGAGGAAGAATCCTGTCAAGACCCCAAGGTCAGGCCAGTTCAGATGCCTGAAAGATAACACGGGGATGCAGTATGAGCTGAAAAACAGAAAGAGCTAGCCCTAAGGAATTTTTTTCTCCTTATGGAAACTCATGCACCCGTCACAGATACCTCATCCCAGAGCAAGCCAGGGAGAGGTCCTCGGTGGCGGTTTCCCTGTGTGATGGTCAGGGCCAGTTGTAATCCGGGAGGTGCCTGGAAGGCTGTGGAGCAGTGGGGGGAGGGGGGATAGGCTCTGGGAAACTCCGTCTTCAAAGGAGGGAGATGGGGCTAGGAGGCAGCTCGGTTGGTAACTGCTTACCCCTTATGAGCCAAGCACTGAATTTAATCCCCAGTACCAAATAAACCAGGCACGGTGGCACACAGCTGTAATCTTCGTACCCATAAAGTGACAGCAGGGTTGGAAGGGCAAGGTCATTGTTAGGTACGGAGTGAATCTGAGGCCAGCCTGGGCTACAGGAGCAGAGGGAGCAGTGTACAGAAATGCAATGGAGCATCATGACAGGCATGGAGACATAGGCCTGTCACCCCAGCACTTGGGAGAAGGAAGCAGGACCACCAGGTTCAAAGTCATCCTCAGATGGGCAAGGGTGACCCTGTTAAGAAAGAAAAAGGGGGCTGTAGAGATAGCTCAGAGGTTGAGAGCACGGGCTGCTCTTCCAGAGGTCCTGAGTTCAATTCCCAGCAACCACATGGTGGCTCACAACCATCTGTAGTAAGATCTGGTGCCCTCTTCTGGTGGGCAGGGATACATGCAGACAGAACACTGTATACAACCAACAAATAAACAATCTTTTCTATTAAAGAAAAAATCCCTAAAATGGATGGGATGTCACACCCCACCTGTCATTCCGACACACAAGAGACTGAGAGTTGTAGGCTAGCCCGGATCACATATAAAGACTGTCTTAAAGCCAAAACAATAATGGCCTAGGCTAAGGCAGAGACTTGCCTAGCACATCTGGAACACTGGGTTTGAGTCCCAGCACCTCGTAAACCAAGCATGGGGATGCACATCTGTAATACCAGGACTTGGAGGGTGGTGGCAGGCAGGACAGAAATTTAAAGTAATTGTTTGAGGCCGGGACTCAATGAAATCCTTCTCAGAAAAGGGTGGGGGTCAGCAAAAGTGATGGCTCTGTAGTTAGAGCATAGACTACTACCTTGGAGAGGACCTGAGTTTGGACTTCAGCTTTCCCGGCTTCCCAGGGGGCACACCTTTACATAGATAAATACACGTGCACATGAACCAAAAAACTTTTAAAACTCAGGCCATGGTGACACTGCCCTTGACCCTAGTACTCGAGAACCAGAAGTAGACGGATCTCTAAGTTTGAGGCCAGCCGTATCTACAGAGTTCCAGACAGCCAAGGTTACACAGAGAAACCCTGTATTGAAAACAAAAAACAACAAAGAAAAGAAAAGGAAGAGAAGGACTATAGACTCCTCCCCTCCTGACTACAGGACCATGGGCAGGCAGGCAGGAAGCCTAGGGGATGAACATTAACTCAGACCAGGGAGAGAGACAGTTTGGACTAGGCATGAAGTGACAAGTGTCATATAAAAGGCTCATGTCCACTGAGCGAGTGTATTCTGCCCTCTTCCTGATGTGCCTGTGAGCCGCACAGCTCCTGTCCACCAGCAGGTGTCGCCCTATCACCAGCTGGACTCCGTTTCCTAAAGTAAAACTATAATCTTCTACCACCTGAGTGCGGGATAATGGCTGTTTATACCAAACATGGTGACTTGGAGAAAGTTCAGGGTTCCCACACTGTTCTTGCACTCAGTACAGGCAGCTGTCTTTGTCTACTGGCTAGCCGCTGTCTGGGTGGTACACCACAGCGGGTCCCGCCAATTCAGTCTGCATAGACATGATTTTTTAGTACCATTTTACAAATGAGAAAATTGAGGTCAGAGAGGTGAAGCTTTGACCATGGTCGCTATTTGTTTGTTTGTTTGTTTTCTGAGACAGGGTTTCTCTGTGTAGCCATGGCTGTCCTTGAGCTCACTCTGTACACTTGAGCTCACAGAGATCCGCCTGTCTCTGCCTCCTGAGTGCTGGGATTAAAGGCGTGCGCCACCATCGCCCAGCTCAGGATCACTAATTATTAAGGAGGATGGGAGAACAGAAGGAAGAAGGGAGGGAGGGGGAAGAAAAGAAGGGAGAAGGAGGAAGGAGAGAGAAGCGGCAGGAACAGAGGAAGGACAGAATGAAGGAAGACCAGAAGGGAGGGAAGGGGGAAGCAAGTCAATTTGTAGCCCTTCCCTTCCCCTTCTGGCTCTTGGGGGGTTGGTAGTGTGCTGGAGTTCTTCAGGGAGGCATACCAGAAGACCCCAACCCATAAGCCCCAGACTCCCACAAAGACCATTCCTAGTTTCCACCTATGCAGCTACAGCCAGGTTGCTCAGGTGCCTACTCTTTGAACTGTGCCCACCATCCTCAGGGATAGAGGCTTCAGTTCAGCAAACACAACCCATGGAGCTCTTAAGACATCTGTGATCTCAGGATAGTTCCTGGGTGTAGGCAGATTTTTTTTTTATCCCATCAGCCAGCTCCCAAATAACCACATAGAGACTTCTTATTAATCATGAAATATTAATAGCTCACTGGTAGCTTAGGCTTATTACTAACTAGCTCTTACAACTTTAAGCCATCTCTATTCATTTACGTGGGGCTTGTTACCTCATCTCCTACATGACCTGCTTCTCCTGAGCCTGGCTGGTGACTCTGACTTTTTCCCAGTGTTCTCTCTGCCCCAAGAATCCTGCTAGTTATTGGATGTTCTGCTTTTCATTAAGCCAATCCAAGTGATACATCTTCACAGTGTACAAAAAGATTATTTCACAGCCCCTGGGTAAGTGGGACCAGGTCCTCTTTCAGAAGGGCACCCCAGAGATTCTTACTGAGCACGATACAGCAGCATTTCTCTGATGACTAAGGATGTTGAACATTTCCTTAAATGTCTTTCAGCCATTTTATATTCCTCTGTTTAGAATTCTCTGTTTAGGTCTGTACTCCATTTTTTAAACTGGGTAATTTGTTCCTTTTTTTTTAAACTTTATTTAACCTTGTTTCATGTACATTGGTATAATGATGTCAGATTCTCTGGAACTGGAGTTACAAACAGCTGTGAGCTGCCATGTGGGTGCTGGGAATTGAACCCCGGTCCTCTGGAAGAGCAGTCAGTGCTCTTAACCACTTGGCCATCCTGCCAGCCCCCGGTAATTTGTTCTTTTGATGACCAATTTCTTGAATTCTTAGTATAATTTGGAGATCAGACCTCTGTCTGATGTGGGGTTGGTAAAGATCTTTTCCCATTCTGTAGGCTGTCATTTTGTCTTGTTGACTGTGTCCTTTGCTTTACAGAAGCTTTTCAGTTTCAGGAGGTCCCATCTATTAATTGTTTCTCTCAGTGTCTGTGCAACTAGGGTTATATTTAGGAAGTGGTCTCTTGTGTCAATGTGTTAAGTGTACTTCCCACTTTCTCTTCTATGAGGTTCAGTGTAGCTGGGTTTATGTTGGGGTCATTGATCCATTTGGACTTTAGTTTTGTGTGTGGTGATAGATATGGATCTATTTTCATTCTTCTACATGTTGATATCCAATTATGCCAGCACCATTTGTTAAATATGCTTTCTTTTTTACATTTGATATTTTTTGCTTCTTTGTCAAAAATCAGGTGTTTGAAAGCACACGGATTAATAGCCGGGTCTTTGATTCAGTTCCATTGGTCCTTGTCTGTTCTTATGCCAATACCAGGCTGCTTTCACTACTATAGCTCTATAATAGAGTCTAAAGTTAGGGATTGTGATGCCTCCAGAAGTTCTTTTATTGTACAGAATTGTTTTGGCTACCCTGGGTTTTTTTTTTTGCTTTTCCATATGAAATTGAGTACCGTTCTTTCGAGGTCTGTGAAGAATTTTGCTGGGATTTTGATGGGAATTGCATTGAATCTGTAGATTGTTTTTGGTAAGATTGCCATTCTTACTACGTTAATTCTGCCTACCCAAGAGCATGAGAGATCTTTCCACTTTCTGATGTCTTCTTCAATTTCTTTCTTCAAAGATTTAAAGTTCTTGTCAGACAGCTTCCTTATAGCACCCGGGATCACCAGCCCAAGCGTGGCTGTGTCAACAGTTAGCTGGGTCCTCCATTATCAACGATCAATCAAGAAAATGCACCACACACTTGGGTACAAGTCAGTGATTCTCTTTTCCAAAATGATTCTAGCTTGTGGCAAACTGATAAAACTAACCAGTGCTCCTAGGAAGCTGGTCTCACATTAAGCCACGCTAAGCAGACAGGCAGAATATTTATCCCTTCAATGAGAGGATGTCCTTGTCCTTAGCGTTCCTGACTCTAGTGCAGCCCCTGTGACCACCATGAGGTTGCCTGAAACTTGACTCAGCAAGGTCCAGTTTTAGCTTCTTGTGTTTTTCTCTCCCTCCCCTTCAGATGCTGCACAGAGCAGAAGTGCACTTGTTCTGGGTACACAGGGCTTCC